ACTCAAGCCCCAGAAAACCAACTCAGACTGTGTTCTGCCGCCCTTTGCTTTCAGTGCGCCTCTGGGCCTAATCAAGACCCATTGACTCGCGCAGATGTTAAAAGATTCCTTGGTTCGTGTTTCAAGACAGGTCGGGTGGATGACCAATCTACTCGCCGCTAGCACTCCCACAGGCATGACATAGCTCACCAACGTCGCAACAGCACTGGCCCACACAGTCAGAGAGTGCGGCCGCACCATCAATAAACGCTTCCTGCTAAAGGGAGGAGGCAGACAATTATCGGCTTCATTAGGGCCACTAAAACCTCTGTCGGGCTATGAGAGCAGATGAACAGACTAACAACCGACGCTCCGCTACTTGCCAACGCATGTCCTTTAGTCTGTCGAGTCTTCCCAACTGGCTACGGCGTCCTCAAAGCGGGAGAAAATGCGTCAAGAACCGTGACCTGCACAACCGACCCGACCCAGTTCTGGGATCTGTTTTGGTCAAAGTTTCCAAGATTACATCAAACGCATCGTCAATTCTTATGTTATATACGTTTTTGTGTTACAGGTCGCTTTTCAAAAATCATGCTTTACTATTCATCTCCCCCCAAACCTCCTGATGATTATAAAAATGTCAACAGGAGACCATGGTTATAAGTGGTCAAAGCATCCGATTTCTGTATTTACACACATTTTCCAATTTATTTTCCCTCTGCAACGTCCCTATATCTTATTAATCCTATCTTTTCTAGTCAGACTATAAGGTCTTCAAAGCATTAGGGCAATGATGTTACCAATATTTCTAAGTTTGAGATAAACCATGATATGTCTTGCCCATTAACGAGAAAGCAAATTTCTGAACAGAACAGAAATAAAATAAATAAAAAAATCTGAAAGCCTTCAGATTTTACATTGTGCCCAAAGGGACATTTTTTCTTAACATTTTGTGTGTAACCTTTACATATTAAATATCATGTTCTGCACACATAAACCATAAAATTCAGTTCAACAGCAATGCCTCAAAATAATTTTAAAATGAGTATATCTTTAGAATTTCTGATACGGAGTTCTCGCACGCTGGAGATAAAAAAGGCTTTTCTTCCCATAAAATGTTGCCATAGCTCGCTTTGAAATTGTGGAGCTTGTTAATCAAAAATGCATTAACATTTTACAAAATATAAAAAAAAAACAAATTTCAAATTTGGGCTTCCAAATGCCCATATTCGGGTGGAAACATACGTCATTCAAAATTGGATGGCTCTAGGTACCGTTGTTGTATCACAATGCACGAAACATATATACACTTAAGCAGATTTTTCATTATATAATTTCTTTAAATATAATATAGGGCTCCAATATTTGGTGAAAACAATTTGAAACATGAGCCGACATTTATAGTGAATAGACGCAAAATGCCAAAACGAAATTAATAGCCCTTCTGGACTAAAAAATAAACAAATATCACCAGGTTTTATAGCAAAAGTATAGTTTCATGAAGTGTTGAAAAATAAAAACGAAATTCAAGCTAGTTTTTCTACACCACCACAAGCTACAAAAGTTTCTGCAATATCATAAATATAAAATGTTAATGAAAGTGGAAAAAGCCTTAATTTTCCTTGACATTATGCTTCTGCAATATCATAAATATAAAATGTTAATGAAAGTGGAAAAAGCCTTAATTTTCCTTGACATTATGCTATCATCACATAACTATAAATGTTTGTGAATAAGCACACTATTTTAATATTTTTATTTTCAGAAGAGAAATTTCCTTATTTATAGGATGTAAAAGTATCTATATACAATTTCCATTGCAAAATTTACAGCCATACTTTTTTGTTTGTTTATTCATGGAAAAAGAACGATCTTTATTTCTACAAACCCTTGAAATATTTCATTACATTAGCAGTATAAAAAAATGTATGCCTTAATTTCTGACTATTGTGAATTATCTTAAATTTTCAGACTCACTACTCCCTTACTCAGTACACCTGAGTGACAGGCAAAACATACTCTAATATATAGTAAATTTTGAAGTACTTTATTAAAAATACAATACATGGAGTTCAGCAACATATTATATTCTGTTATTATTTATTAATATTCATAATGTCTTACTGTGACAAATTCATCAACTAAGTTTCAATGAATTTATACGTTATATGAATATCCTGTTTTACATAGATAATCACTACAATCAAAAGTCATTAATTCGGACCTCAAAGCTACAAACTTTCTGCGCATGCGTCGCCTTTATGGCTGCGAATATGCGTGTGCGCATAATATGTTTACGCATGCGCGTTTAATGTATAACGGACGGTATAAGCTAAGCTAAAATTATCTAATTCAGTTAATGTTGCACACTGCATTGTTCCTTAATCTTCAAATTGGATCCGGCTTATTATTTTTTGCAGACTGTTAGAGCAATTTTATAAAAGTAAGCTTGAACTTTCGATTATGTCAAATGGAATTTCCGATATATATTTACTATTAATATGTAAAGGATCTACAAAACGAAAGTATGTTTCGAAGTCAATTAAACAAAAAGTGGAATTGCTGCAAAAAATGGATATCCTTCATTTTTCTAACCATTCCGAAATCTGTTTATCAATTTCACGCTGCTCTGGGGGAAACGCCGCGGCACACAATGAATTGGAAGTTGATCTGTCAGCACTATCCTTATCTTCAGGGCAGATGTTTTTATTTTATTTGGCTTATAATTCCTTACTAAATGTAGTATTTCATCTCGATGTACTCCGTCTTTGATGTGATTTAAATCAAGTTCCTCATCATTATAATTTGCTTCCGCTAGTGAAGAAAGTGACACAGAGGTTATTGAAAACTAAAAAATTTCGATTGACAAATTAGTCGGTATTCTCGACACAGCAATTATAGGACTCGAACAGCGGAACTTTGTAACTGAACAAGAAATTATGTCTGTTTATAGAATTAAAAAGAAAGTATTATCACATATAACAAAGCAACTTACATTGAAAGAAATGTTTAATAAAGTAAACAAATAAATATTAAGCTTTTTTTTTGGTAAATTTTGATACTTTTTAGATCATAATTGTTCTTTATTACATAAATTACGGTTTCATATTTTTAATTTTATAATTTCTGCATGCCATCTTACTAGATTTAAACTGATGATCTATAATCCGGAAAAATCGATAATCCAGAATCGCCGAAGTCCCGACGAGTCTGGATTAACGACTTTTGACTGTATTACCTGCAGTTTCATGTATTTGCGGTATCTCCTGGAATTAATTCCAGCAGATATAGGGGTACTGTAATTATCCTAATCACATAAAAAGTTCTGTATGAATTTTATAATCAATATATTTAGACACAATTTTATATCACATGAAACAGCAGCTTGTAGAATTGGCTGTCTGTCAGATTTATAAAGGGAATTACTGGCATGGCAATCTGCTTTCTTTGTATTTAATTAAACACACTTACAAATCAACTGAAGAAAAAATTCATCCCTCTTATACACTGTGACTTCAAACGTCCTTACGTGTCCTTTATTTTCTTTTTACCACTGGTCATAATGTCCAGTTACAAAAGTGTTTTAAATGACATGCATGTTCATGATTTGACACTTTTAAATTAAAAAAAAAAAAAAAAAAAAAAAAAAAAAAAAAGTATTGTAAAATAACAGACTATATATATAGGCTCTGGTCCCTATAGTCGAAATTTAATGAAAATCTATAAATTACATTAAATGAAATATACAGTATATTTAATGAATTTATCATTTAGTTAAAGTTAGCATAACTGATGGGAAAAATTGTATCCTAAAAGAAAAGTTTTAAATATTACTGCAGTATCAGTAATAATTTAAATCTGTTTCATAGTATGAATAAATTATTACAAGTAACGGTTTTCATTACAATTGTGATTGCATTACATATGTAATAGCTACAAACTAAGCTGAATATGTTACATTAATATCCCATCCAACTACAGAATTCTAGCTAATAATAATAATAAAAGACAATATGTATATGAGTGTGTGTGTACACACGCATACAGATCAATTTAATAGTAAAGAAATAATTCTAAAATGGAATGAATTTTAAAATCAAGTGCTACAAGGATTGAAAATTTAACAAAATTTTTTAATAATTAGAAAACAAGAAGCCGAATATGTTACATTAATATCCTATCCAACCACAGAATTCTAGCTAATAATAATAATAACAATAAAAGACAATATGTATATGTGTGTCTGTATATAATATTGTATGATATTAAATTCATTTAGTGTGAAAACAAGTTACTACTACTTGCGCAATTGCTGCAAAGTAAGTTAATAATAATTTATTTACTAAATAATATTGATGAATTGATTATATTATCCTTTAAGTTTAATTATAGTAGGATTATCTTAAAAGAGTGAATCCATACTAGTAAGTTATATTATGAAAGATGTTTTGAAGTAACTTGAAAGTTAATTGTTAAAAATGTTTTAATGGGAACTGGAATTAAATCATGAATAACAAAATTTCAATTGTAAAAGGAATAAATTAAAGGTAAGAATTAAATTAAATAATATGCATGTAATCATTATCATTGATCGGAAATTAGTTGTATATATATATATGTACAGACTTAACTTCTTACTATTAAATTGATATATAGGCATGTGTGTGTGCATATATATCACACATGCATACACATCAATTTAATAGAAAAGAAAAAAATTATAAAATGGAACGAATTTTAAAATCAAGTGCTACAGCGATTGAAAATTTAACAAAATTTTTTAATAATTAGAAAACAAGATTATTACTATCCTGAAAAATTTTAAGAAACCATTAATTTGAAATTTAAAGATAAAGAAAACAATGAAAGACTATTATTTTTTTAATTATTAAAAAATTAATCTTTTGTTGCAACCAGCAGTTTATCAATGTCAGTGCAAATTGTGGTAACTTTAAATATAAAAATTCAGAATATGAATCTGTACATTCACACAGACCAAAGAGCATGAAAAATTCTTCATATTACTAATGGTACAATCAATTTTAAGACATTTATTGACTAATTACAGATTAGGCAATAAATTTTCAGCTTAATGTAGTCTTTAATGCATCCTTATCTTGAACAGCTTGCTTTATTTCTCGCATCAGATACGGAATTTTTTCCCGATCAGGTAGATCCCTCCAATGTGAATAATGTATCTAAATTAAAAAAATAAGTAAATAAATAATTTAACAACACATTTCAAACACAGGTAAAAAAATATGATTCTCACTATGAAATTTAACTGCAGGTAAATCTACAAGTTCAATAATCAAATTAAATTGCATCAAACATCAGTAGATTACAAGGTACATTTCTCAAACTGTAATGTTACAAAATTAAATAATCAATTTTCTAAATAATAAATATTATAGTAACCATTTAATATGATTTGTTTCAATCTACTTTTGGATTTTTCAAGAAACACTGAGAGAAAATACAGATGAATTCCATGTAAAAGACAACATAATTCTTGAGAAGCAGATAAATATTGAATAAAAAATTTAAAATTACCAAAACTTAGCCTCAATCTGATGCTCATTTCACATTAAAGCTTCAAACTATTTTAAGAGAATTCATCTTTTTCTTGAAATACATTTGGTTATGTGATGGTTTTCTAGCTCTGCACACTCAATGCTTTTTCATAATGATAGTGATAGTAGATTTCTGGCACAAAACCTTAAATGTTATATGTGCCAAAGTGGAACCCTGAGATACAAGTTTAATTTGTTCCAGCATTGAGCTCGTTGGCAAATTTCATGTATCTAGAAACAAATTTCCCTATTGAAGATAATGGGAATCCAGTTAATCCACTTCGCATCCTCAAAAATATCAACATAAAAATCAATTTTCCTAATAATATAACTATAGTTTACCTTTATGAAGAGTCCTGACTAGTGATATGGATGTGAGGAGGAAGATAAAGGCTACTGTGGGGACAGCTTGCCTTACATGCCATCTCATCTTCAGTCAATGTACCTGGTATTTTTCAGAGAAGGTACAAATACAGTGAAAGAGCCTTAGAAAAAATGCTATCTTCCAACATCGAATCGCCTTTTAACTGCTTCTCGTTAATCCACACCAACAACAGCTTCTCAACATCTACTAGGGGCTTTGGATGGTGCTTGGAAGTAACGGTAACTTCTTTGGCTGCATCAAGTTTCTTAATTTATTTTTCTTCTTCGGAATAGCACAAATCATTGATGTCGAACAGGCATAAGTCTTTGCCAATTCAGTCTCTTTTACATCATGCTTATGTTTATCTATTTCTTTTTTAGTTTCAACTTCAATGGCTTCCTTCTTTTTCTTTGCAGCAATATTAGAGGCAACAATTTTCTTAGAATGCATGGTGAAATAATTACTTCACACTAAATGCACATAGTTATTAACTCACAAGCACATAAACACGTAGATAAAAGAACACCAAGTGATCTAATGGGAGGATTCACTGAGTCAAGCCGGATCAGGAAACGCACCACGCATACCAACAGTCTGGCTTGTTACTCGAATGAATGTTCGTATTTAGAGACTTATACTTTCCTCGTATTTGAATTTCTCGTATATAGAGGTGATCATGTCTTGAGGTTCCACTGTACAGAAGTTTTATACTTCCACACACAAATAACTGACAAACACACATGTTAGATAAATACAAAGTTTAAAATAACAGCATACTTATAAACAGAAATGATAAAATGATTAAAGCTGAGATGAACAATAAGATTCAGGTAATGATATCAGATGTAAACAGGAGTAAAATTATATGAGGTATATTAAACATGAGATATATTAAAGTACCAGTATGCAACACCAAAACAAAATCAAATTAAATCATGAAGGCTCTTTCAGGTAGTGAAATAAATTTGTATTGGCCTCTTTCCTGTTTATATGGTCAAGAGACAAATCACAGTCATTAAAATACTTCAGTAAAATAAATACTGTTAAAATACAGACATTCTATTAGAACAGTATAAAAATCTGCACAAACAGGTTCACCCTCGACTTTAACAGGTAATTGTGTGTAACTCGAGAATGAACAATTCTAAGGATGGGTTAAAATTCCTCCTTCCAGTTTCCAGTGGCCTCCCAATGCTCTACTTGGGATATTCCCACTTCTCAACTTATTAGTAAGTTGATTACTCCAGATAAGCTGCCATTTACTGAGGATTCTCTGCTTGATGGCTTTCCTAATATCTCTGTAGGAGACAAGCCTGCATGACCATTCCTCAGCAGATTTTACAGTGATATTTGTCAGCTCCTTTCCCTGTATGCCCACATGTCCAGAGACCCAGCGGTAGAGAACCTGATATCCTCGACTTCTCAACTTTAGATTTATACTTTTAATTTCAACAATTAGTGGATTCTGAGCATCTGAAATTGCTTCTAGTACATTAGATGAGTCAGTATAAATAATAAACATTTTCTGGCACAGTCTGGATATAAATGATAGTGTGTAGTACAAAGTAGTTAATTCTGAAGTAAGCACAGAGCACACCTCGCATAAATGTTTACGCTCCGCATGGTTTCCAATCACTAAGGCTATTCCAACACGATTTTTTGCTTTCAACCCATCTGTATAAATAGAAACATAACTACTGTACTCTTCTCTGTTCTCCAGGAAAATATGATTATATATGATCTCGTTAGTGTTGTATATTTTTCAAGATGCTGGAAGACATACAGAAGCCAAATCTGAGCATCTGCCCAAGGAGAGATTTTAAAATATTTTACTGGCTAGATATCCGCATCATCCATGCAATAGTTTCCTATCACTGAGAGAAGCCTTAAAAAGACGTAAGGCACACAGGATGGACATGCTCCAAATAAGTGGTCACACGTGTCATCAAGCGAAAGAATCTGACAAGGATGGTGGGCTTACAATATTTTGTTGAAATAACATTGGAAAGACAAATGCTCATGACATAAAAATCAATGCATTTTCATAATAATTTTCTATACATATAATACTTGCTTATATACAGCTTATATAAGTTATTTCCTTGAGTTAGTTTTACATATGATACTACAACTTATTTTTTAAACATTCAGAATTTCCAAACTCAGCAAAATGATTGCTGAACACTGTCAGTTTGACCTAATCTCCTAATATAATTAATCCTGGTAAATGAGCAATCCCCCCTCAAAGTAATATTAAAATTAGCCATTTTCTGTAGGTCAGTCCTATTAATCTTCCACTGAGGCATTCTCTTCAGGCTCAGTGAATTCACTTTTGCTGGTATGGAAGACATCTGCGAATTTACTGGAAGCATAGCTTTGATCATAATGGGAAAAGGTTGATGCTACAATTGAAAGAAAAAACAGCGATGATTACTTCTTTCAAGAAGATAGTTGTATGACTCACCATTATACAGACCATTATCATCAGTATCTTAGTCAAAAATACCTCAGCTGCAAAGACAGAAAGAATTTTATGTCCATCTTGGCATATGCCATTATGATGGATACGATGAGCGCAGGAGACACATTAAATGAAATGGCCAATCTGGGCTTCAGATTTAAACCATGATTTTTTTCGGGGGGGGGGGGTTGGCCCGAAACAAAGGCCTAAGAAACATATTACTTAAACATCAGTATATCCTTTATTGAAACAGTAATGCATTCCCATTGTAGCCAATGTATGTGTATATAACGTGTAATTCAAGCAATTGTGCGAATGGCCCACCGGCCCAAGTATACTATGACATCACTTAAGCAATAGTTAATATTTTATTTAAGTATTAGTGTTACCATGATGCACCACTGTTGTAAAGTATAGCATTGTTCATCTGCATTCAACCAATGTAATATTACTTTCCCTTTAGTTTTGCTTAGTGGCAACAGCTGAAAAATGTTATTATTTTGGAAGAATAAACTTGTTTGGTTGTGTTTAAAATTCTTATAGAGATTATTTAGGTAGAAATGAGTTGATGAATGGACAAAATGGTGTACATTTATTGTCATATCTAACAACTGTGTATATATATAACATGCATAATTCCAGCATCAGTGCAATAACTGTGTGCATGCACTGCATAAGTGAATACAAAACATAACTATATTTAAGCAATAGTGTAATACTATTGTAACAATTACATATAATGTATACTTCAAGCATCCACGTAATCCTATTGTAACCATTGTGTGTACACAGTGCATAAGTAAACAAAACGCATGAACTGCACATTCTAGTTTGCTTATTGAATGCTTCAATTGAATGCCAATTCACAAATTACCTACTTACGCTACCAGTCCAAAAAGGTCAGTACAGTCAAAAGTCGTTAATTCGGACACCCATAATTCGGAATGATCTATAATCCGGACATCAAAACTAAAAACTTTCTGCGCATGCGCCACGTTGACACATGCGCAGAGGCGTTCACGCGTGCGCGTAAGACCTTTTACGACTGCGAATAGGTGCGAGTGCGATATGTTTTCGCTGCCGGCATTTTATATTAATGGATGTATAACTAAAATTATCGAATTATCTATTTCAGTTAATGTGATGTGCGCTGTTCCTTAATTTTCGAAATGCATCCGGTTATTATTTTTTGCAGACTGTAAGAGCAATTTTATAAAAGTAGCTTAAACTTTCGATTATATCAAATAGAATTTTAGATATTTTGTTAATATGTAAGGATCTAAAGCAAAAGTATGTTTTGAAATCGAAATCTGTTATCAATTTCACACTGCTCGGCGGAGGGCGCTAATGAATGGAAGTTGATGTCAGCACTTCCTTCTTCCGCGCGATTTTTTATTTTTTTGGCTTATAATTCCGTACCAAATGTAGTATTTCATCTCGATACTCAGTCTTGATTATGATTAAAAAAGTTCATCTCATTATAATTCGATTCCGATAGCGAAAAAAGGACAGAGGTATTGAAAACAAAAAATTCGATTGAAATTAGTCGGGTTCTTGACACAGCATTAGAGGACTTGAACGGCGAACTTTGTAAGATGAACAAGAAATTATGTCTGTTTAATAGACTTAAGAGAAAGTATATCACAGAACGAAGCAAAACTTATAAACAACTTACATTGAAAAATGTTAATAGTAAACAAATAAATTTAAGCTTTTCATTTTGCAAATTTGATACTTTAGATAAATTGTCTCTATTTCATAAATTACGGTTTTATTTTTTATTTTAGAATTTGCATGCCATATACGAGATTAAATGATGGTCTATATCCGGAAAAAATCGATATTCCGGAATCGCCGAAGTCCCGATGAGTCCGGATTAACGACTTTTGACTGTATTAAGCATTAGTGTCATCATATGGAAGCTACTGTGTGTAAATAAAATGAATTATGTTTTAATGTAATCCCACTGTAACCACTGAATTCATACCATCTGTATGCGCATAAAGTGTATGAATTGTTGTTCAGGTAATCTATTTTCAAAATCATAAAATATCCAATCGCAGCAAATAATAATGTAACCATAGGCTGCACATGCTCAATCTAATCATGTTAGCAATGGTGTAATTTCAATTATGTAACAGCCGTGTAACTACTGAATATAAATCAATTGGTGGCACCATTGCGATGTCAGCCGCACCTTAGCACCAGAAAGACACTGTGGCCCCAGGAAGGCATTGTTAATCTTGATAGCTAGTGTAAGGGGTCTATACCTACTTACTCAGGCTAAATAATAGGTGGCCTCTGCACTTATATTTAACACCTGCAATCAACAAATATGTTGGATAGTGGTCTTTCATCTGTCACACAAACTTGGCTTGGTGGCTTATAACTTCTTTTTCTTCAGACCATTAAAAACAATTAATAGGCACAATGATTTACCGACACATACAAAATGAAAATGTGCATTGGTTTACGCATTTCTGTAAAGAAATACGTAAACCAATGCATATTTACATTTTTCAAAAAGGATTTAAGAGCTAAGTACCGAGATGGCACAAATGCATGGGGTGTATTGGTTTTCAATTTTTTTTTAACCCCAAGCAGTCCATTCATTACTGTTACAACATTATTCCCTCTTTTCCAAAACTTTAACATATTTTCCAGAATTAACATATTGTAACCTGCAACCTAAACTGACTATAATCATTATTTGACTTATTACAATTAATTCTAGATAATACACTTAATTATGTTTCAGGGGGGTTAAATGAGTTAACATACCAGATGTTTATTTACAAAGATAACTAAAATGAGCTCTTAGAAATTTACTACCTCACCCACAAAATATTTCGCAAACAATTTTATACTAATGATAAAATGGAAATTTAAAAATGGTCCCTGTTTTGTAGTATGAAAAAAAAATTAATTAAAATTTTTAATTACATATACTATGAATGATGTATAAAAGTGTATTACTATATAACTAGACTTACTATAACAGGAGAATAGTCTCTCTTTGCTAAGCTTCTAATTTTTATATCCATCCATCCTCGTAGTACTTCAGGATCCTTACAATATTGCTCATCATATGTGACCATGACAGCAACACTAAAACATATAAATCAATTTTTTTTACAAGTATTCTAGGAAAAAAATGTATAAACACAATTAAATCTATTCTATATACTTTTTAAATTTTAAATTTATATTATTTATGTATTAAATTCCTCACTGCACACACACACACACACAAAAAGTCAAAGATGAATGCATCCATATACTAAGCCATTCCACATATTCCAAGAATACAGTCTTCAATATATTCTGGATTTGTCACATTTTGTTTCAGAAGTTTGATGGCATAGCTACAAACGAGTGTATCAGAGAAATGTAAATCTGGATAACATTTTGGAGTAATGCAGTTACCAAAATACATTAGCATAATTCAGTTATCAAGTACAGATCATTCACTAGCATGGGTTTTGGGATCTGCTTATGAAAACCTGCATCAAAACTGCATTTAATAGCTACATATTTATAATATACACTAATTTTAGACTCTGTTTTCATAAACTGTTTTTAATCTTCAGCTAATTTTAATAATTTGTTAAATTTAGTATCTGTTTTCATAAACTTTCATTCATTAAGATGATATTCACATCATTAAAGTTAAGTAAAAAAGTAAAATATTTTAAATTATAAACTAATATATACCAAACATCTCATGACCGAACAAATGTGGTTATGCCAATCAGGGGGTTAATGCTATTTTAAGGCAGTGGTCAAACTGAAACTGATGAGTTAGCAAATTCTTTCTGGGAGTTGTAAAAAATTTCTTGACGTACAATCTTTAACAAATGAAGGAAAACTTTGTGAAGAACATTTTGAAAGTTCTCACTTTAGAGATAAAGCATTATTCAGTTGCATTACCATTCAAACATAACAATGATGTTTTAGGTGATTTCCATGAAAGACATACAGAAGATTTCAATATTTAGAGAAGGACTCTCATCCATACCAGAAATTTACAACCAATATATTCAGTTTATGAAAGAATATTTTTCACTGGGACATGTAAAATTTGTATCAAACACAGATTATGAATTACAGAATAAATACTATTAAATCCCACATCACTTCATATTGAAGGAATCTGTCAGTTTTGGTGTTAAGAACCAAAATTGACAGTCATCTTTGATGAGTGTGCTAAAACAACTACAGATGTGTTGCAACTCAACTCTTGCTGAGATCCGATGGCTGAGTGACGTCATCTCGAACTCTGAACCCTCATTTAGAGATCGCACGAGAACTCGGAACTGAGAAGTCGCACGCTACGTCGTGCCACATTAAACACTTTTTTCATTATGTAATATTGTAACCGTTTGGCGTCTTCATTAAATATGTTTGTTGTAAAGAAAGTATTTCATTTATGGTTCCCTTCAAGATTTTGCAGATAGAGATGCAACAGAAGAATCAATTTCAACCAGTGGCCCTTGCAGAACCCATTGGGACAAGGTAAGCAGTTTTGTTTTACCTAGATTAATTAGTTAGAAGTAAAGATAACAATAAATAAATAAAAATAAGGTGTTTCTTTAAATGATACATTAACCCTCTAATCGGCAAGGCCATATATATATATGGAATAGAATATTTTTTGCGATATCTGTAAGAAGGTTATATATACGTGCATATTAAAATATGCCAAAAAAATTAAGGCAATATATCAAAAGAAAACAAATCCAGGTATGAAATACCAGGAGAGTTTTGATTAAATAATAATATAATAATAATAATAATAAAAAAAAAAAATTCTTCTCATAGTAGTTTTGGGAAATCTGTGCTTTCTTAGCGAAAACCCTGGCCGCTCAGAGGGTTAATGATAGGCCACAAACACAAGATGATTTTATTATTAAGATTTAGACTTCATAACATTACAATAACCGCTGATATTTAAATTATGTAGAGACAAATAAAAGTTCACAAAAAAGAAACAAGATTTTCAGAAAATAACACATTGTTCAATAAGTCTCAGGATTAACAAAGAAAACAACATACATTTCACAAAATTCACATTTATTCATCAACATGATCATCATCAAGAGCTATGCAATCATTGCAAAGCTTTTCTAACTTTTCGATACCATGCCTGTAAAACGATTTGTCCTTGTCCGTAAAATAAGCTTCAGTGGCAGCGATGACTTCCTTATTCGAGCCAAATCTTTTCTCCCGGAGCATCTATTTCAGATCAGCAAACAGCCAGTAGTTGCTGGGAGCTAGATCTGGGGAGTATGGTGGGTGGGAATGCAGAGTGAAGCCCAACTTGTTCAATGTAACCAGTGTATGCATTGACTTGTGGCACGGGGCACTGTCTTGATGGAAGATAATTTTTCTTCTTCATGTGCAATCTTTTTTTTTTTTTTTTTTTCGATTTTGTCCTTCAGACACACCAATAACTCACTGTAATACGTGCTATTGATAGATGTCCCTTTTCAAGGTAGTCAATGTAAATTACACCTTGCGTATTCCAAAACACTGATGCCATGATTTTGCCAGCTGACCGTTGGGTTTTTGGATGCTTCGGACGGCTTTCACCGGTTGCACGCCACTCAGCTGACTGTTGCTTCCACTCCAGAGTGAAATAATGGATCCACGTTTTGGCCATTGTCACATGCCGACGCAAGAAATCCTGTTTATTGTGAGTAAACAGCGACAAACAACTCTGTGAATCTTCGACTTGTTGTTGCTTTTGTTCCATTGTGAGCACATGCGGCACCCATTTGGAAAATACTTTTTTCATGCCCAACTTTTCATGTAAAATTGTATATGCACTTCCAGTTGATATGTTTACCATCTCAGCAATCTTACGAACTTTCACTTTGCGGTCATTCATAGCGATTTTCAACAATTGTTTCACATTTTTTGGAGTGACTGCTTCATTTGGCCTATCTGAGCATGCCATATCATTTGTATCCATGCGACCGTGCTTGAAATCAGCATACTAACTTCAAATGGTTGTTTTTGATGGAGCAGATCTGGATAACATTTTTCAAGCCATTGGATGGTATTTTTGCCCAATTAAATAGCAATGTTTGATCAACACTCGAAATTCGTTTTTCTCCATTTTGTCCACAAATGCACAACCACTTTCACCACAGTAGCTTTGCTAGTTCCGGTCTGAATGCCATGCAAATCAGACACATGTCATTTGAAGGTTAGTTCTTTCGAACAACGAAGTTAAGTTGATATTACTACACCATCCGTCAGTTAGTCCTGGGACTTATTAAATGATGTGTTATTAAGGAGAGATAGCTCCAATCAACAAACACAAGTCTGTAATTTAAACACTGTCGGATATGGAATTGCAGCTGCTCCATATCTTGCAACCAACGTTTTGAGTCAGTTAGCGATTGATGAAGGACTGAACTTTCCGAAGGCAAAGAATGCAGTTTTAAGAGATTTTTACATTTATGATGTACTAACCAGTGTTAAGGATAATCCACCCGGAAGGTATAGCGTTGATAGATGAATTGCAGCAAAGGCTAAAAAGGGTGGCTTTGAGCTCCATAAATGGTCAACAAGTGAAACATCATTGTTAAAAAATGCTGGCTTAACAAACATTCGTCATGCAATAGAAGGTAAAACATTAAAAGTTCTGGGATTGGAATGGCATTCTGACAATGATGAATTCAAATGTAATTTCAGTGTAACAGATTATCAAGGTGTTTTAACAAAAAGGATTATTTTGTCATTTGCATCAAGGTTATTTGATCCACTGGAGTGGCTAGTTCCTTTTGTAATTCTCACTAAATCCTTCAGCATTTGTGGAAATTACATTTGTTATGAGACGATTCTATACCAGAACAGACTGATCAAAATTGGAGAGGTTTATGTACAGAAGTTAAACTTTTAAATTCTATAAATGTACCTAGAAAAATACAGTTATATGATTATTCTTGATGTGAACTTCGTGAATTTTGTGACATACCTAAAAGGCTATGCAGCAGTTATTTATGTCAAAACATATAACAACTTTGATATCTGCGTTAAATTTGTAACAGATAAAACTTATGTAGTACAACTGAAACCTATCACAGTTCCAATACTAGAATTATGAGCAGCAGTATTAGTGGTATACTTGATTTACGCTGTCAGAGCCACATTAGCTATACAATTTGATTTGGTGCACATTTGGGTGTTGTCATGGCTGAAGTCAGATTCTGAATGGTGGCAAGTATCCATACCTAAGAGAGTTTCTGAAATACAAACCATCTTACCAGCCCAGAATCGGAGTCGTGTTGACAGAAAAGTAAATTCTGCTGATTGTGCTTCCCATGGGTTATTTTCTGCAGAACTACTGTCTCATGAATTGTGGTGGAATGGACCTCCTTGGTTAAACTGCAATCAAGTTTCCTTGTCTACACATACTCCTATCAATTAAAAGGTATAACTACAAGCACATGAAACAGTATAATTTGTAGATTTTGAACCTCTACAGGAAATTACTGTTATATCATTTATATCCTCATTTTCGACGTTACAATGCATACTTGCCAACCTAGGACACACTCACAAATCATGAAATTTCTATCAAAGATCAAAAGATATTTTAAATGATAAAAATATACATTTTTTACTAATGAATTAACTGAAATAGTTACTAATTAATATCTGAAAGTTAAGTTACTAATTCTTAAATGGAAACAGTACAAAAATACTTATAAAAACACTTTTATGATTTGCATCTTTAAAATAATAATAAAAAAACTTAAATAAGTTTTTGTAGAAGTGTTATGAACAGTAGCAGATTTTGCTTTCATTAAAAAAGAAACTTCAGAATTTTGCTCGTAGCAATCACCATATAGGCCTGCTTTTGATAATTAAAGTTTTTCTAATGTGCCATTACTAATGTTAGTTCTAAATTTAGTCCTTGTTTTTGCAAAAATACTGAAAATCCTCTAACACTCTGCATTACTATGGTGAATTGTCAGAAAGGCCAACATTATTTAGACAGTTCACAATACTTTAAAATTCCATTAGCACCTTTCAGTTTTTCAATTAAACTCCACTGGGTGCCAATCCTAGATAGTTTTATAACATTATCCAAATTTTCTAATTGTAAACTTCAAAATTACGACTGCAATTTATCAGTTGCAACATCAAAACCATCTTTCATGACTAAATGAAGTAAAATGGGAAATATATTCAAAAAGTATCTTGTATCTATCGGGAGACATTTTTCTAAATAAAGCTGCAACATTATCTGATGCAGCGGCAGTTTCCGATTATCCGATTCCAGTAAAAAGGCAGAGAACAGGCATTCTGTATTTAAAACCCCTTTGGTCTTTTGTTTCCACAAAAAAAAAAAAAAAAAAAAAAAAAAAAAAAAAAAAAAAAAAAAAAAAAATCCAACAGAATTTAAATTGTCCTTGTGTTTTTGTGTAAGCACATGTCTGAGACATTGGCCCCTTAAACGTGCCATAATTTCTCACTGATGAAACAACCTTGGTTTTCTTTTAGATTTAATCTAGAAAAAAACCAAGTGACACCCCAAATCACTTTTTTGGTGCAAATAACGAAGTATTAAGCCAAGATACATAAAAATCATGAAAATTTTGAATATAAGAAAAATCGGGAGAAATATGTCGCAAACGGGTTGGCGGAAGAACGATCAGAAATCAAGAGTCTCCTGCCTAAATCAGGGGAGTTGGCAACTCTGTGTATGCTTGAATATTAAGATTTGTATCAAATTCAAGGCTGTCACATCTAGAGAGAAATACTTCATCTTTATCTAGGAATGAAATTCGAGCTGCAAGACTCTGTTTGAATACTACAACGACTGAACTTCAGCAAAGAAATTCAGTGTTTGTAGATGGGAAAAGATTTACCTACAGAAATATATCTCCTTAACTTGTGTCCACTTTTAGATAATAACAGTTACGAGTAGGAGGAAGACTGAAAAACCTGCATCTATCAGAGAATGAAAAACATCCAATTTTATTACCTTCAAAAGACAATCTGATAAAAATCATAATTAGACACTTTCATAAGAAGTATCTGCATGCAGTAACAGAACTTCTTTTAGTCAGACAGCAATTTTGGATCACAGCTGCTAGATCTGTTATTCAAAAATTAGTAAAAACAAGAGTTTGCTGCAAACATAGAGCTCAACTGGAAAGTCAAATAATGGCTGACCTATCAGCACCTACAGTAACACAATTGTGACCATTTCTTTGATTTCATAGACAAAACTCATTTAAATGCTATGTGTGTTTATCTGTGTGCTTTGTAATCAAATCTTTGTATCTTGAAGCAATCAGTTAACAAAGGCATTTTTAAGAGCATTAAAACAATTTATTTCAAGAGGAACTGTGGTTTACAGCTACTGCAGGTACTAACTTTAAAGGTGCAGAGAAAGAAATTAGAAAATACTTTTTGCAGTGAAAGCAGAATCAAGAAATTCATGACTTTTTGTCTCTAGAGCAAATAAAATGGATATTTAATCCACCTTCAACACCCCATTTTGGTGGAGTATGGGAATTAAATGTCAAAGCCAATGAAATTTTATCTAAAGAGAACTGTTGGTGATACTGTGCTGACATATCCTGAATTTCAAACTCTGATAGCGCAAGCTGAGGCTCATCTCAACTCTAGGCCATTGTATTCAATATCGCCTGACCCAAATGATTTAACTGCATTAACACTTGGTCATGTCCTAGTAGGAATGTCTTTAACTGCCATACCTGAGTAAGATCTAAGTTCCTTGAATCATCTTGACCGATGGCATGCAAGACAGTTCATTTTTCAACAAGCAAAGATGAAAGTGGCAAAAAAGTCAATGATTTGGTTCTCACAAAGAAGCCAACCTTCCACCACTTATATAGCAGTTAGGAAGAATTACTGTGAAATCCAGGCTCAGATCACACAGTCAAACTTGTTAATATTAAAACTGTTCATGGTATCATAAAACGACCTATCATGACATTGTGCCTCCTTCCTACACACACTAAAAACTGGAAACTGCATCATATCTAATATTTTTGCATTTCGTATTAGTTTTATTTTATGTTTTATTAATAGTATTTTCATTACAGAATAAGGAGTTGCAAAAATCACCAATTGTTGAAATCCACTAAGATTTAAACAGGGGCCATTCATGCAAGTATTGTGAGTAATGCATAAAATCTAAGATCACTTAATTTGTCTATTTGATGGCTGAATCACCAGTCCACTTCCACTGAATATTGAAGATAAATGAATCTATGATTTATTATTGCAGAAGTGCGTGTAAGTTTCTTTGTTTCTACTTTTTGCATGTGGCAACAAGACTAGTATTTGGTAAGAGTTTTTGTGTTTGTGACAGCCATGTAGAATGGCTCACTTAGTTTGTATTACTTATTTCATATTTAGAACTAGTGTAATTAAATAAAGCTAAGGGAAATACAGTCCCTGAGTCATGTGATTTAGTATTTAGGGAACAAGCCGCAGTGAAACATGCGAAGTTTGGTCCAAATATTTCATCATACACACACATATGCAATAAGAACTCCCTTTTAGAACTTGATCCATCTTAATATTTATTCTTCTTCATTTTTCTTAATATTTATTCTTCTTAATTCAACTTTCTTGGAATAACAAATATTGTTTACAAAATTAACCAAAATTAAAGTCACTAAAGAAATTATTCAGTAGTTCCTAAGAATTTCTGAAAGAAATGCTCCATGTTTCTGAAATGGAGATACACAGATAAAATATCAGAAGGTTGAAAATGACAACAGTGCTGCAATACATCATTAAACACTATGTTTTTCTTAGAATATATCTTATACAACACTTTTTTTTAATAAAAAAATTTTTTTTAATAACATAAAAATTTTATTTTGAATTCATTGATCAAATATTTGTACTTAAAGCAGAATACTTTTGAAAGCTTCAAATCAAGAACTTTTAGTACCTATTGGATTTACCAACAATAAATGATTGTCCCCTAAACTGATGATCAATCAGTTTGAATAGCAAATATGTTTCCCCTGTTCTTCGTATGCTTTATAAAAAGTCTCCTTGCAAGGGGAAGAGTAGACTTACTTCTATTGCAAAATATCCACACAGCTCTCAAAATAAAGTTATGTATCTCAACAACCGTTTAAAGGGATGGGAATCCATTTTTGTTCACAATATATGCAAAATAATAAAATTATTACAAATGGTACATGAAAAATATGACTACTAAAACATCAAATTAATGCACTCACATTCTAGCATCAAGTGGGAGATCAATATCTTCAACAAAAACTATATTCTGGTAATATTTTTCAGGTGCAGAAGAAAGTGATTTTTGTATAGAAACGGGATAATTTCCACTCCTCATGGCAACAATGTGATCTATTAAAAATAAAATATTATGTGAATGTGATCTATCAAAATAAAACATTATGTACAGAAATTATATTGTTCTAATATAAGCATTCAAAAGTTCTCTTTATATTTTTTTAATAATGTACAACTCCAATGATTTTTTTAAGGATTATGAACAGAACAGTCATATAACTTATAACAGCATTTTAGTTTGACATATAGAGTAAACATTTACTTTTTTATAATAATATATGATAAACTATTAAAAAATTAATTTCTGGTATAAAAACTTTATTGAAAAAGACTGGAACCAAAAAAGATGAGTTTTTATTTAGTCACACCAATATAAACTGAAATGCTAAAACTTTAGTTAGTTATAACTTTAGTTTTAAGTTTCTGGCTGCTATTTCCAGCATGAAAATAGGTGAAGTCGAATGACAGGTGCAAGATATAATAATTATGAGCAGTCATACTTAAGATCATGTTTGATAAACATGTACTGCAAATGTGAACATATTTCTTATTACTGGACTTACTTTGATAAGCACTCTGTATCTAAGGTGTGAACTTTTGCAGGTGTTTACAGAAAAGAATCAAGATTTTAATAGTAATATGAAAAATAATAATTGGGGAAACAGCACATGTGAAAAGAGTGGACATTCTTTTCACATATGGAAATGATTCCTCAAGAAGATGATGATGGAAACAAATAGAAATTAGGGTGCCTCAAGAAGGATATAATCATTCAGAGAAGGGAAACATTACATTTGATGCTTGTGCCATTTAAATCATAAGCTCACAATACAATGCACAGTATTCGGAGGTTTTAATATATGGCAACTTTCATGAGTATGATCTCTGTCACTACGACATCAAAAAACACAGCTTGATCAAGGTCAAAGACATTCTTGAAACATGCACGACTAATACCGCATGGCAAGGCTAAATTACATTCTTCAATATATTTTTATGCAAAATTATAGATCTGTCTTGTCAACAAGATGATATCCATGTTTCACAGCGTTCCCTCTTGGTTTACGACAGTCATACTCAATCTTAGACCCACCAAGGTTTTGTTGGTGGCCTCATCATAAGCCCATTAAAGGCAATAAAAAAACCTAACAAGTAGTGAGCATTAAATTATTCAAAAATTTTCGGGAAAAGAATCGTCGGTGCATGTTGCATACAATGCAATGAATCTATTGCATAAATTTCACACACCCTGCGATCCTTCTCACTTGCATCTTGTTTTGAAGCTGTCTTATATGTCTAAGAATTAATGTCTTGAAGATTATTAATGACTTACACTAGATTACACAGTACTGCACTTACACTAGATACACAGTACTGCACCATGCTAACATACTTGTTTGACACATCCTTTTTGAATATGATAAGCTGTTTCTTTTTTCTACAGATTAATTATATACTTAAATTATATCTAAAATCATTCTTTGATTTTTATTTTTAAATCAGACATATTTTTCCAGTTATATTCTTATTTAACCTCTTTTGCATATACACTGCTGGCCACTCAAATTGCAACACCAAGAAAGACAAAAGATATCACAACAAAATTTATTTAGTAGATAACATGTTGACCAAGTATCAAATGATTAAATTTATAGACTTCTGTGAAGTGTGGTTCCTTCCAGAATCAGTAGACCGAGTAGACGCCATTGTTGGAGATCACCGCTGCCACATGCCTCGGCATTGATTCAAGAGACTTTGGATGTGTTCTTGGGTACAGCAGACAGCAGCTTCCACACGTTGCCAAAGTTGATCTTGTATGGCAGCTTGGGATGTAATCTGGGTCAATCGTTCAGCAACCATGCACCACATGTTTTCTATTGGCGAAAGATCTGGAGAGCGAGCCGACGAGGGAAGCAATTCAATCTGGCGATTGACGAAGAACCCTTGGACAATGCGTGCCAAGTGTGGTCGCGCATTATCCTGCTGAAATATGGCTGTGGGCTAGCCCTGAAGGTAAGGAAGGACAACTGGCTCTAACACCTCAGAGATGTAGCGCTGGCTGCTTAAAGTACTGGCAATGCGTATTAGAGGAGTGCGAGAGTGATATCCAATACCGCTCCATACCATAATACCAGGTGCAGGACCAGTGTGGCAGTGCATAACGCAGCTGTTCAGCATCCTCTCCCCAAGGTGTCTCCAGACTCAAATCCGACCATCGTGATGTAGCAGACAGAAGCATGAATCGTCAGTAAAGACAATTTCATTGAATTCTGCCGTCCACATCCTTCTTTCATCGCACCATTGGCGGCGGAGATGTCTGTAGTTCTGCGTCAAGGGTAGACGAAGCAATGAATGTCTTGCGAACAGACCACTCTGCATACAATGTTCCTGTCATCACGTGAAGTGGTGCACTGAGGTGGATGCGATCGAACACGTCGGTCCGGTGTACCCTTCTGCATCCAACGGTCACATATCCGCATCACAGTTGTTTGGTTTCGTCCAACACAACTACCGATTTCTCTGAAAGATAATCCACACTCTTGGTAGGCCACTATCCTTCCTCTGTCGAACTCAGATACTTGATCAAACAATGATCGCTGTTTACTACGAGGCATAATTGATCTTTTTTTTTTTTAAAAAAAAAAAAAAAACCAGAAGAAAAAACACAATTGCCGAACTTGAAATCGTTAAAAACTCCAAGCCTTAAATAGCGGTTTGAAGTGTGCCACAGGCACGCGTGATGTGCGTCTGCACTGAAATTGTAATCATTTGCATATCTCACCTCCGCTAATGCATGTTGTAAATTTCATGTTATTTGCATCCTTCCTTCAGGCTGTTGCAATTACGGTGTCCAGCAGTGTATATTCCTATTTAACATTTTTTGCAGTTATATTCCTATTTAACCTTTCTCAAAGAGTCTGAATCCAGTGAATCAAATGCAAGTGATTCTACTTCTTCAAAACTGGCAGTCAAGAACTCAAGTTCAGCCTGGGTCAATTTTATCTTGCAAAAATACAACTGAGCTGTATATATATAAAATCTATTTAAAAACCCTACTATGACACATGTGTCCAATATGTATACAATAGCTAAATATTAATATTTTTACTTGTTACAATAGTAATTTTGTCAGTTTCAACATATAACTTTATCACAATAAGAAGTGAAAATAGTATTGGGTTGTTCAGAAAGTAATTCCGTTTTTTTCCCATCAGAAGGCTTTAGTGTATTTTTTCACAGAAGCTTCACATCTTAGCTGCATAATTATTATATATCATGACAAATGATATAGCAAGGCTTGCTCATGCAAAAAATTTGATTGATTTTACGAAGTAATTTTTGGTTGGTGCCCTTTCCAATTTGGAAAGTGTAATACAGCATTTTCAGCATATTTTACTTTTTTACTATCGAAAAGGTAAAAATGCTTTTCAAGCAGGGGAAGACGTACTGAGAGGACAGTGTCAAAACTGCTTTGCAAAATTTCAATCAAGCATTTTTGACCTTAAACATGCACCATGTTCTGGAAAGTTAGTTAAAGCTCATGAAGACACAATAAAGGCATTAATTGATGCAACAACTTGTGAAATTGCTGAGAGATTAAACTTGGTGAATTCGACTGTTCATTATCATTTGAAATGCCCATGTTTAATCTCGAAGCTCGACATATGGGTCCTCACGTTCCCCACGGAAAGAAATTTTTGCCATCGCATTGATGTTTGCAATTTGCTTCTCAAACATCAAGAAAATGATCCATTTTTGAAGTGCATCATCACTGGAGATGAGGGAGTAAAAAAGATGAATTGGCTCAAAGCCCTTTGAAAGACGACATTAATAAAAAAAAAGGTGATGCTATCCATTTGGTGGGATTTCAAAGAAATTGTATTTTTCTTTTTTTTTAACTTCTATTGGATAACACAATAATTAATTCTGAAGTGTACTGTATGCATTTGAACAAACTGAATGATTCGCTTAAACATAAAAGACAAGAATTGATCAATATAAAAGATATAGTGTTCCACCAAGATAATACAAGACCTCATACAAGTTTGGTAACTTGCCAAATGCTTTTACAGCTTGGATGGGATATACTGCCACACCAACCATACTCTCCAGATCTGGCACCTTCTGATTATCATTTGTTCTGGTCTCACATGTAACACCAAAAATATATATTATCTGCTGTTTATTACAGATAAAATTAGTTGAGTATACTCAAACCATTATTGAAATACATCGATGTGAAATAACAACATAACATAGGCCTTACTCCACTGAAATAGAGCAGTGGTTGGGACATATATGTCCAGTGAGCTTGAAAGGGTGTATTTGGCAAAATTCAAATTAAAAGTGTGGCTCTTTTTGGAATTCTTTAATAAATCAGGACATGCTAAACAACTGTAACTTTAATCTGCTTAACCTTCCAACATGCGTGTATGCGCAAAATTTATGACAAATTCAGTTTTTAATGCACATTTTTTGCATATTGAAGCTGAGACGTCTGAATGTCATTTCTATTCCTCTTTTCTACCCTTCCCCACATGATGGAATGTGCCAACAGGAAGTCATTTGACTTTTTTTAACTGGGCTTTTGTGCTACGTGGCAGCATTTTCAAAAGAATTACGACACGCGCGTGGTTGTGTTTTAAAATTCGGAAAATATTTTGTAATTTTGTGTTATTAGTTGCCGTGTATTATTTTAATTTGAATACATTTGGCTCTGTAAATTTTATATCGTTTTTCATGGCAAAAAAAAAAAAAAAAAAAAAAAAATATATATATATATATATATATATATATATGCAACAAGCTGATTTTGCTTAGATTCTTCAAGAATTATCTGATGAAGAAAAGGAAACCTTTGGACGGGAGAACAAGCGATTTCCATTCCTTATTTTCTTTTATTTCTAGTTTTTTGGAAATAAATAAAAACATTAAAGTTAGTTTAAAGTGTGTTTTTGTAACCAGTAAGAAGTAAATTTCCTTGCAGAAATAAGTAATGCTAAACTTACTTTTTTCCCCTACCAAGGTGATTTCCTTTTCATTGTCTATACTTTGATGAATATTAAAATTAGCTTCGATTTTAAAATATAATTATTAAATATTAAATTAAAAATTTTCTATAATGAAATACATCATTGCATTTCTGTTTCACTAACATACAAATTTAAAAATAATTTACTTATATTTGAATGTGATATTCGTATTTTTGAATAATAAGATTAATATTTTATTTCTTAACAAATTTATTATCAATATTCACTCATTTCTGTCATTTTTCGTGTTTAAAATGGTAAAATAACGGAGGTTTTAAAAAATATGATGCGTGCGTTCTCATGTAAAATTGCCAAGCGCGCGTGCTCGAAGCTTAATAGCACTACATTTTAATCAGAATACCTTTTTAATATGAAAATAAAATTACTGAATTTATTCTTAATTTGCACATTTTTAAAAGAAGTTAAAACGATAGAGATTTTTTTTTAAAGAATAAATACCTATAAAACAGTTTGTAAATTAATGTTAACACAATTGATTTTTAGGTATTTAGTATGAAATGTGACCATCATGTTTTGGGATAGATTTTTGGCAATTTTTGGTTTACTATGTTTTGCCACATTACTTCATCACCGAGAAATCATACTTGAATAAAAGAAGTCAGAATCCTTCTTTACTTGTTCAGTTCATTTTGTGCATCCTTTCCTGAAGAAATGCCCAAAAGTTTTCGATTGGGTGAAGGTAGGGTGAATTTCCTGGCAACTTAAAAGCTTAAGATCATTTTCTTCAATAATTTTTTATTCCTTTTTTTAACGTGTGGCACAGAGCAAGGTCTTGCTGGAAAATGCCATATACCACTGGCCAAATTTCCTTCAGCTTAGTACATTTCTTTTGATTGTTTCAATATATTTGTCAGAATTCATTATTCCATCAATTTGCAATAATGACCACAGCCCATGAACAGTAAAGCAGCCCCAAAACAATTTCTTAACGGGTATTTTACACACTCATCAATATGTTTCACGGAGAGTTTCTCGCTGTGTGTTTTCCTGACATAGCAAGCAAGACCTTTGACCCTGCACAGCGAAATGGGCTTCATTAGATAATAAGTTTTCCCATTGTTTTTCATATTTTCTTCCCTTGATCGTCTCTTTTTCACCACTGCCTTAGTTAGAAGTTGTTTTTTATAAGGATGGACAGCCTTACGAACCAGCTTCTAGTAGCCTATGATGAACTGTGGATTTGTGAACATGAATCTCTGATTTTGCTAAATCTGTTTCTAGGACTCATTTGGATTTCCTTAGTAAAACAGAGGTAGTTAGCTAGTAGCTGACACAAGTGTTTTGCTTTCTCCCAAACTTTCCTTTCTGCTAGGGTGATAAACTGCCTGTGTTGTTAAACTGTCTAATAATTTTTCTACCAGAATTTAAGTTACATCATACAGTTCATTAATGTCTCTCTGTATCATCGAAGAGTGTTCATTTAATGTCACTATCTTCTTTTCTTTTGAGTAAAGTCATTTAAAACTTGCAGTACAACTTTTCCAACATATAATATAGCCTAAAAGAACAACAATTATCTCAAGAGCACCTAATAGCACCTCTCATTGAATCACCTAAAAGTACAAAATAGTAAATAGGTGAGTATAATCACAGTTAAATATCAAATGTAAATCAGGCCTGCCACATTCAGGAAATCAAGTGATGTGAAAATTTCCTCTTTTTCACATTAATTTGGAAACTACTGCACAAATTAAATTTGATACTTTAAATCACCTACCAGAAGTTTTAAAATCCCTGTTTTGAGATTTGGAGAATGATAAAGCTTTAGTCTCTTTCACTTTTATTTGGACATGTCTATAATGCAGTATTTAGCACATCTTCCTCGAAGTGTTAAAACTATAATCTCGAGTTTTCAAAGAGCAGGTTTTATTAACATTATTATTTATCTTATACTTTATATACCTGGCTTGATACATTCTTGTACTTGTTCCAATATCCTGTTCATTCAGTCCTACACTTAGCAGACACAGTCATTCAGCATATAGCATTTAGCCTTAAAGGCAAATGTATTTATTTATACATTACAGAAATTATGAGCTAAAAAATTCTAGTAATATATCTAAATTCAAACTCAAAAAGTTTATACCTTTTTTAAGAACAATCTTAAAAGATAAAATGTACTTAAATCCACATTATTCCATTCAAAATACTCAGAAAAGAAATTATGTGACAAATTAGTATCTCGCAACAACAACAACAAAAAAAGTGTATACTAACTAAGTGATTTCCTCACCCTCCAAAATGCACACCTTTAAATAAAATTGTTACATGAAAAAACTGTTACTGTATTTGTAATTGTAACATAGTTACTTTTTCAAAAACAGTTAAATCCAGGATTTTTTTGGCAAAACTGTGAGCAATACAAAACAAGCATTTTCCAATGAAATTTAAAGTAACAAAATATGAAGACAAAATTAAATGCCTAAAATGACTATATAGAATATATTTCAATAAAATTACTGAATCAATAATAATATATTAAAATGCTTGTTAAAAAATTCTAATCTTTAAAACTCGAAATTTCACAAACCTATGACATGGCCATCATGAGTATAGACACCACTCAGCAAGAACTGCGATCCACCAAGTCCATTTTCGATGAACTTTGCTAATGGACATCCAGCATCTACATGCCTTTGATAAATGCCTTGAGTAAGTTTTTTTATAATACTATCAGGAAGAGAAAATTGTTCGTTTTGATCATAAACTTCAAGACCCCACATGATAGAAAATAAACTCCTTTCAAATTCTGCAGCTCTTCCTAAAGAAGTATAAATTGAATAATTAGAAAGCTGCAAATGGGCAAAATTTCATAACAATATATATGTAACAAGGCATGAGGCAAATTTTAAAGAATATGAAGAACACTCTAAGTAATCTGAAAGATCTTTCTAAGAGAAGCTCTATTAACCAGGGTTCGTTAATTAACAATTTCCGTGTGCAGAAATGTGTATTTCTGCACACGGAAATTAAGTACTTTTAAGCACCATTAATGAAAAAAATTAAGAACCTATGAGCAAATGGGAACTGAATAAATTCAATTAAAATTATTATCTATGCCTGAACTTCACTTTTGTAATACTCAGAGCTGGTTTTATACTTGATAAGGCCCTGAGCTATTTAAGATATGGAGCCATTTATACTATATTTTAATTTTCTGGGGACCCTAAGTTATAGCTTGTATAGCTTACACGTAAATCCTGCACTGGTAATACCACCCTAAAAATAAAATATATCTGTAAGTAGGATGCATTATTATTAAATATTAATTAATTAACATAATTATTGATAAGTTTGAGAATAAAATAAACTATATGAAATTTATCAAGTAGCATTAAATATTTTACACTCATAATAGTTGGAAATATTTGAAAGAAGATAAGTGACATTTTATTTACATTTTATTAACAGTTAGTTTTATTATTATTTTTTTAATATCTTATTTTGTCATATAGTTGCAAAATCCAGAGGTTTAGTAAATAACAGGTAGATTTTCTGTCAAGCGGCATAGGTTAAAATGAGAAGTAAGATCATAATCAACATGATTCACAACTAAAGACTGGATGCTGTCACTGCGCTGCTGCTGCTTGCCTACAGAGAGACCTGCTGATTGGAAGAAACCTAAAAGGGCTTATGTAGGCATGGTTGGCAAGTTTTGAAAGTTAGTTGGGTTCTGTCTGACACAGTTAGTGCCGTAGCTTTGTGTAGAGTTCCATGGGTTGTAACCCAGTTAATATACATTAAGGTTCTAATTTAGAAGCCAAACAACAAAAATCAGCGTTATATTTCCAAAATTTTCACAGGACTAGTTTCGATGGTTTTACCGAACCACCATCCTCAGCTGCAAAACCTCAAATGAACAAGATAGGAAATAATGATTAGATAAGATAAGAAAGCCTGGACAAGAATAAGCAAAAGTGGTGCCATATTGGTGAAACCAGAACTAAAACATAATTTCTTTAAAGGCCGAAGGCAAATTTGGATTGGAATTAGGATCGTTAACTAGAACGGAAAGATTTTATGAATGTGAAATGCCTCTAGAAAAAATCCAGTTCTCCAATGGAAGATGTTTTTGAATTAATTTTGGCAGCAGAAAAATTGAAAGTGTGGTTTTCGGACCAACAATGTTGAGCAACAGAAGACTTCTGTGTTTCCTTTTTTCTAACATATGCCTCATGTTCCTTGACGCGAAATTTTAAGGCTCTCTTAGTTTGGCCAATGTAAATTAAACCACACTGGCAAGGAAAATAATTTACATTGGCCAAACTAAGTTTGCTAAAATGCTAAAACTAGTTTGCTAAAACTAAAATGCTTTATTTTAATGTTATTTTTTAAATATAATTTCAATATATTACCATTATTTTAATGAAATTTATCAATGTTACAATGTTTTAAAAACTATTGCCGAAAAATTAACAGATCTCGGGAGTAAAAATTTTTCTATAGAAACTGATCTTAAAATCGCCAAAATGTTGATAAGTCGCCAAATTTAGAACCGTTTAATAAAAGAATTCACATCCCCAAAAGTGAAAAGTTGTTTAAGAGCTCTTCACTAGGAAAAATGAATTTCGAAATGCTTATGTTTCACTTCTTGCTTAGAAACTTGAATATACCACCGTTTATATTAGAAATAGGAACAAATTATAACCCATTCAAAAGGTAACCATATATGCCAGTGAATTGCCAAAACTATTCCTTCAAAATGCTAACTAACACTCAAAATGGCAGTCATAAAAACAGACAGAAATTTCAGATGAATAAAATTAAGGACTTTCTGCTGATTTTGGCCGAAATTCAGGACTTTTAAGGACCAAAAAAATTAAGGACTTTTAAGGACTCTTACGGACTGTACGAACCCTGTTAACCTGTCATCTTAATAAATCTGAGTCTATAAAAATAGACTAAAGTAAGTAAATATACAAATTTAGCTAATAAGGACTCTTTAAATACAGGTGTTCATGAAAAATCCCAAAACACGAGGTGCTCAGAGAGTTAAACTCCTCAAAATAACTATGCTTATGTTTTACAAAGTCTTCCATATTTTCATGTTTTGAGACATTTTTCTCCAGAATTTTAAATAAGAATAAGAAAAAATAATAAGATAAGGTTTAACAATCTTATTACTAAATTTTGTGTAATAATTCATGATACTTAATATTTTGCTGTTGACATTTTTGACAATGCAAATAATGCAATTTACCACCAATAACAAATACAAGTCATATCAAAACACACTCATAAGAACTTTGCTTTGGTTTTATGTAACCCTGATCATCAGTAAGCCAAATTAGGTTTTGCAAGAACGTTACAAGTTAATTGCTATTTTCTTTGCTTTTCTCTTGCATTTTGCAAAAGTGACTGAAACTTAGAACCTACTTTTTACAGAATAGCAAGCAGTAGATAATTTTCAAAGATGCAGAACTGGTTATACTACTGCACAAACTCAAAACAATTTTAAGACTGTGCAATTTGTACAAATGCCGAATTAAATACATCAAAGAAAGCACAAAACCTTTTAGATCCATATTTAAATGAACTTACATGCCGCTGTGTTCATAAAGAAAGTGGCAGTTTTATTACTATTTTACATTCCATTAAGGATTTTTCACCGTATGGACTTTTTTTCATATCACCGTTCATTTAGGATATCACCATGCGACTAATTTTTCACCGTTTGAAACTTTTCATTCAGGGAAAAAAAAAAAAAAAAGCGGGATAATTTTTAAAGAATTGAAAGATAAATGGTAACTGTGTTAAATTCATCATCTTAACCCCTTCATTGTTAGCTTGACACAAATTCTTAATTGTTGGATCTAAATCTTTACTTCCCTGCATAAAAGTAAGGAATTTTTATGTACTACCTCCCGGTAAATTTCTTAAATGATGGAAGTAAATGGCTACTCTGAAGCTGTTCCTTTTCCCATACAGACAACGATCTATGTCACAGCAGTATGGAAGAAATCAGCAGTCCAAATGTGCCATTGTTCCTTTTACAATTTTTGCGAAACTCCATCTGAGCAGATCACCCTGTCAAATAGATTGAAAAATACAGGAAAATAACCTGCTAATACGGACTTTGTATTCATTATTTGGGACTTCGATACAGCTTTTACATGGCAAGCTACTCAAGGAATTCATACCTGATTTTCAAGATAATATGAACCAAAGATGTAGATGGATAAAGAAAAGGTAAGCCTTCTCATAAAATTTGATGAAATCTCGTAAAATTTTAAAATTGTACGGATTTTTGGCATGTGTGAAACTGAATTAGCCAACAGAGATGACTCTGATTGTTTCCCAATCTGCAAACATAAGCTCTTTTCCAAACTCTTGTTAACTGCCACAACTTTTAATTGGACTTGCACTAAAGAGAAAATGGGCTCACATATCTGAATAAAAAATGGTTGGCACCTAATGCTCAAATCTGATCATGATGAAATCAGTTTTGATGAGCATAAATCTGACAAATCGAGAGAGTCATCAAACGTTTACCCATTAATGGTCACCTTGACAAAATTAACTGTGCACTATATGCTTATAACTTAAATGTATTTAAAACTGTCCAGCTCCACAACTCTAAAGTACAACTTAAGCCTATACTTTAAATCAAATTTCTCCCTCTACTTAGTTTTGATAAAGTTCTTAAAATTAATCACCTTCTACATTTTGTAATGCGAATAAAAAATTCAAACCCAAGAGAACAGCTTTATAATGCTTTAAATGCAAATCCTCAGTCATTTTGATAACTGCAGAATTAAACCATGTTGTCAATGGTATTCAGGTCCTCTCCTTTCATGTCTCCTCCCATGCGAGTTTAAATGCATCAAAAAAATTAATTTGCTGTAACTATAATGGACTTCAAGTAGCTAGCTTTTATGGTTGCCTGATATTTAAAACAGACAAGCATAAAAAATTCATTTTCGCCTGTCTTTGGAGTTACATATGCCAATATGACAAAAAACTGCTCACTCTGTTGCTTCAAGTCAATCTGAAGCTACCAACACCAATATTAATGCTAGAAGATAAGTTAACATACCAACCTTGCAGCCTTAGTCTAAAACTAAAAAGCAATTGATTATGAATTTATGTCAATAATATCCAAACTCGTTGAAAGTTTTCAAGATATTCGTTATTACTAGGCAATAACTCCAAAATTTATTTAACTATGCAAGAGATATTGAGCTATAATTTCAAAAACAGAAGAAGAAAAAAAAAATCTTTACTCCACAATCTAACAGCAAAATATGCAGCAACAGAACAGAGTCTTTCATCCATGACCACAGGCTCAAAACAGGCCCATTTGCCCTCCCTATTGCCAGTCCCTATGTGGGCTGACTTTCAAACATCACACCTATCAAATTAAGGTCCCGGGAAGACACTCTGCAGCACTAGGTTTGCATCACAGAAAAGACATTACCTGGCCATGAAAGCATAGCAAGTTAAGAACAGTGACCTTCACAAGTACTTCGTAATGGTGGACATCACCATTAACCCTGAAACTGCAAAGACCAAGAGCAAATGTTTCACAATATCAATTACAGATGATGCCATGAGACTAGCAAGGTCATAAAACACATGGGGAGGGAAGAACCACACAGATTTATAAAATAAAAAATGTTTTCTATTGAAGCAGCTACAGTTCGTCTGTTATACAGTCAGGGCTAACAATATTCAAGAACATAGTTCTGAACTAAATATACTTAAAAGATACAATTAATATTGTTAATAGATTTTAAAAAAACTACTGATGAATCAGGAATTTTAGAGGGGAAAGCAATACATTTTTGCACTGTGTACTGACTATGTGCTTATGAGACGAATTTGCTATGATATAATAAAATAATAATATAACCAAACTTTTTATTGCTTTATTTTATCAATTTTGGATATAATATGGCAAGGAAAAGGACTGCCAATATACTGAAAAAAGCTTATTAGTAATTAAATAATAAAAAATACTAAATAAAAAGGATATTCAAGAAAAAATTGTGTCTGACGTAAAAATAATATCCAGGGTAGATCATTTCCGTGTGCTCTCATCTAACTACACCACTATAATAACTTTCCATAGGAATGCTATAGCAGGCATTTTTCCAGGTTACAAAATAGCAAAAACATATTCATTCAAATTGTTTGAAAACTTGGTATTTTGCTTAGTTTCTTCCTAAATATGTATCTTTGAATATTTTTTTCATTATGAGAACATTTTTTAACAGAAAACTTCTTTCAACATAATTATTAATTACAGTAAAAACTGTAGATGCTTTTTAAAATTTTCATGGTCTACTATTTTACAAACTTTAAAAAAAAAGTTTCATGCAGTATTAATGGTTATATAAAAATTAAATGAGAATTTATGACAGAATTCAGAATACAAAATTCAAATGTCTGCATTTAAAATACAGGTTATAATACCTTAACCAAAAAATTCTTAACTGTAAATACTAATGATCACCACAATTCTTACTTTAAGGGTCAGTAAAATGGCAAGAGTTGTGATACATCATATGCTTTGCAAATTGAAAAAAAATCCATTTTCCTGTTTGCTCTATTGAAAAAGGTAGTTACTGATAATATAATTGGGAATTGAATTAATACTTTTATTACTTAATCAAATATGATGATTGATTAAATACTTGAGCGAACAAACAGAATTATTGAAATATGTGAATCTGACGTTTTCCAACTTGAAAGTTTAAAATACTGTCTGTTTATGAGATGAACAGTGCCCGTGGTGCTATAACAACAGGGCTAGTATATTTCAAATAGGGGCGAACCAAGGGTTGCTTTATTGTTATTTTGTTTTTGGAGACTGTTGGCTCAGGGTAAAAGAGTTACCATCCATCTTCAAGATACCCCTACGGAAAATAGGTCAAGGATCATTTATATGGCAACAGACATTTTCAGACAAATTGGCGAGAGCTTTTTTTATGATAGACAGACTATACAGAGATGATAATGAATGAATATTAAGTAGTAAATTTTGTTTATATCATAAAAAAGAAACAACAATAATAATAAAGGAAGTATACATACTTTACAACAGCTGAAAAATTAAGAGGTAATACCTTAAAAGATAATGAAAATTTATCCTCAGCAAATATTAAGTTTCTGTAATTTAAATAATATTTCAAATATCTCATTGGAATTTAGTCGGACTATGTCAAAGACCATTATCAACTTACAGGTAGGAATGCCTTTGGGGAGGACTTTTTAAGGGATTTTGGCTAATATTCATACCACACATGGCAAAAATCACAAAATCTGCCATACTACATGGTTGCTGGTGGAAAGCTGAACAGTATCTAATTTAAAAGAAACATGTCAATGTAAAATTTATAAAACTAAGCAAATAAGCAATCTTAGTTTGACACAAATTTTGATATTTCTCTAAAACATAAGATTCAGACTCCTTGATACAAAATTTTAATGCTCTTTTAGTTTGCCTGATATATGTCAAAATCACGATGACTACATATGCTATAAATATCCCCCGGATTAAAAAAAAAAAAAATACCCAAAAGATGAAGAATCTGTATAATTTTATATAGGGAAGTGACAAGGTTGTTAGGATTTTTTCTAAAAGTATAATAATCCTGTTAATGTGAGATTATAAACATTTCCCAGATCAGTGTAAATTTGTAAAATATGGAAATGAAGCAAAAAGTAATAAAAATGCATATTTTGATGAACTTGAAAATATTATTTACATTGGATAAAAAAGGACAAAAATTAATAAAAATCAGTAATATCAATATAAGGTTTACACATACCAATAAATAAAATATTATATAGTAAATGTATATGAACATCATATATTAAAACAAAATTTTGTTGTCTTTTTAAATAAGTTCGGCAACCACTTTTTTATATTTTCGGGCATTATAATTTTTAATCTAAATCAATCCTAGCATATTACTCTACTTAGAATAATCTTTGATCAAAAAAACTTTATTTAATTTCAGTTTCCAGGAATCTCTGTCCCAGCAGGTTTCTGAACATTATCAGCAACATCTGCAAGGCCATAAATGGATTTGGATTACTTTCAATTAAATTTTTATCGATAATCGTTATCTAGGAGGCTGAAATTAGTATAAAAATATTATATGATTATGCAGCATATATTTTAACTTTCAATTTTTGCTGTCTTTTTGAAATTGCCACCCCTCAGTAATACCCACACAGCCTAAAGCAACATAGCTAACATGCTCCTATGCACATATTTTTGCTTTATTAAACTTTATTTTATTTAATTGATCCTGAAAGTTACATGCAGCTCCACCACAGAGAATGAAGAAGAGACTTTTACCATAATATATACATGTAACACTTCATTCATGCGAGCGAGAGATGTGATGATCAGCCAATCAGCAAGAGGCGCACATCACATGCTATGTTTTACATCACAGCTTCTCTCTCGACTCAGTCTCTTTTGGCTGGTTCCGTTGGAGGAGAAAGACTGCTATAGATTGCTCTCGGTAGGAATCTCATTTCTGTGTGTGTAATAAAACATATTTTTATATCAAATGCTGTTCCTTTCTGTTTCATTCATAATCAAGAGTCAGATCAATCAATATCATCTTTATACATAATACCATTAAAACTGCTTTTCAGTGAGAAGTTGGATTAGTCCCACTGCCATATTTCTTATATACAAAATTTCCCATGGCATTGTAAATGTGAAGATGATCCAGTGTAAAATATAGAAAAAATGCACTCTGTTACATAAGTGTATTTTTGATATTGTCAAAATTCATTTGTAAGTTTCTAATTCAAACACTCACTCAAGTACTACCTTTGAAATGAAATAAAATATTTAATCAGGAAGTAATGGAGTAATGAAGCAGCCCACAATGTTCTTTCAACATAACACAAGATGCAGAATTAACAAACATTGCATCAGGTTTTTAATCTGTTGTAAATTAACTGCACTTCAAACAGTCCCTTGATACTAAATTTATTTACCTGTGGGATCAAAGATGAAATCCTGGTTGAAATTTTACAATATTATTTCAATTTAAGCATTGGAAGCATGAATGACTTTTTTCAAAATGGTTATGTAATAATTTGCAATATAAGAAAACAAAATTATCATTCTTGCAAGTTATTCACAAAATATTTTGTGAAGACTACTTTTCATAGATCTGAATTTTACAGTTGGGATTCCTGCTATTTATTTAAAGAATCAAATGGTATTTTCACGGACCATTCATGTGCACTGTAAATACAAACGAGTTACCCTAGAAACTTCTCCACAAAGGCATCCCTCTCCTTAGGCTAATAGCCCTATATGCTTAGCCATATTTAAAAAAATATAACCACATAACAACTTAATTTCTAATGATCTTTTGGTACTTTCTGACTATCTGCAACTCCATGAAAATTTGCCAATTCATTTGCAAGTTGGTGAAAATGCTCATTTTATTAATTTTAACTTTCACAGTTTTCACCTGGTTTTTATATATATATTTTTTTTTAAATCTTAATTTTTATTTCATTCAGTTGTAAATTATTATATATATTTATACTAACCTGAATCTTTTTACTTAGTCTGGCATTAACTATACAACAGATAAAACCACTTAAAATATTTTTGAAAAATTTTATGCACAAAAGGAAAGATTACACGAAAACAATGTTTGAAATAATGACCAAAGCTTAAAATTGTATTAAATATAAAACTTACCTTGCTTTTTACTAAGGCTCCATGCATCAAATAAATAATTTTCGTTGAGAACTCTTGTTAACAAGTCTGGTGGAAACTGGCCTAGCATGGCAAGACAGCTTACAAATTTCACAGCAAGATTTGGCGAATTTTCATATAATTGCTCTATTCTGCTGTTACACGAAAACAAGACGTTGACAGCTTCATCGACTCGAGGGGGTTGATATCCAGTTGCTGTCAAATATTCAACAATACTAAGGGGAGAATATTCTTGTGTAGTCCTCACGCTTTCTGCTTCTGAGCAAATAGCATCGACAAGGTAGTCCATTAAATTTGAAGGACAAAAACTTAACTTGTAAAAATGTAAAAATATTTCATATGTACTCTGCAAATTCCACTTACTAGCCACAATAGCTTCAGCAACACAGAAGAAAAATGGGCCGTGGTAAAAACCTTGATTTCGGCATACGCGTAAAACAGGAATAATTTCTTTTAGATGTAATATTTCTATATTTTTACATAAGACATCAAATGACACTTTAAGCAATTCGTTATACCCATCTACAGGAGTTTCAAGATTTAGTAATGCAAATATTATAGTCATTGCTTGATCAGTAGTCAACACAGGAGACCTTTCTATAATAGTTGAAACAATTTTCTGAAATGATATTGTCTTATATTAGTTCAAACATAAAATCAAAGATACTCAAATATAGTGATAGAGATTTATATTAAAAAAAAATGTTTACCACATGCCATACTTCTAAAACAACAACAAAAATAAAAAAAAAAAAAAAAAAAAAGACTAATTTAAATTTTTATCAAGAATAGGTATGCAGATTGAGCTGATTATTCGTGTTAAGAATGTGCTTCTTGGGAATAAAAAAATGTTAAATCAGCCACTATGACTGTTAACCTATTTTACCAAGCTCCATCACTTTGCAAATCATAAGCCGCACAAATGACACATACAGTCTTATGATATACAGTAATGCTCTTTGTTTTTGAAAAATACATAATACTTTCCAAAGAATAAGAATTCAGTGTTTTAAGCTTAAAACAGTCAGCTTTTTAAAGCAGTTAAGAACATATTTGGGGTGTATGGTTGTTTTCACCCGTGTGGTGACCGGGTGTGAAAGAGTAGTCTCAATGTAGCTCATGCATGTTGTAAAAGGTGACTAAAATGGATACCCAGCGTCTGGGGGTATAGCTGGGTACTCCTGCCTCCAGGGGGTTTATAAATATGGAGACCTGGCCCTCCAGGTTGGGTTGAGCACAAGGCCAATGCCTCGTAAAAACTTCTGATTCAGAAACCTCAAAAGGAATCTTCCAGACTGGTCTTCCACATTCCCAACGATCTAGTTTGAAATCGGATTTGAGATTTGAGACATGGAACATAAGAACTTTCTTTATATAAAGGTTGAAGCTTTGAAAATACTTACTGATGTTTTTATTGAGTATAAATTAGATATGCTGGCCATCCTAGAGATGAGATGGACTAGCAATGGAGTGGTTGATAAACATAATTCAGTGTTTATTTTAGCTGCCATGACAAAATACATCAGTTTGGAACTGGTTTTATTGTTGGTAAACAAATTAGAGATAGAATCATTGAATTTAAGCTAGTGAATGAGAGGATTTGTAGGCTACATATCAAAGGTCAAATTTTATGACCTTCTTGATAAAACTCTTCGTGAATGTCGCTCAAATGATATAAAATTTATATTGGGTGATTTTAATGCAAAGATTGGTCACAATGAAGACTTAAATGTGTTTGTGGGAAACCACAGTCTACACATGGAGTCAAATGAGAATGGTATTAGACTTATGAACTTTGCCTTCTCTGCTAATGTGATGATTTGGAGTACGGCATTCAAGCGTAAAAATATACATAAAGTCACCTGGAGATCTCCAGATGCAAAAACTCAAAATCAAATAAATCACATACTGATAGATCTAAGACACAGAAGCAGTCTTATAGATTTACGCACATTCAGAGGTGTGAATGTGGATTCTGACCACTTTCTAATTATTTTGAAATTGCACTATAAGATCAACAGATCTTACAATAAAAGGAGGGAACAAAAATCTAAAAAGCTTGATATTGAACAACTGAAGAAAACAGAGATAATTGAGAAGTACAGGAGAGAGCTACAGAATAAATTGTCGACAAGTGGAGGAACCCCGACACCTGAGAATGCTTGGCAAAATCTAAAGAAAATTATTGTTGAAGCATCTGAGAATACAATACCAGAATACCGAAAAAGCAAATGTAATCACTGGTTTGATGAGGAATGCAGTGAGATTACAAAAAGGAAGAATGAGGCATATAGACTAATGATTCAAAGAGATTACGCTAGAAATGCAGAGGAAAGGTACAAGGAATTAAGAAGAGAGGAGAAGAGAATTCATAGAAAGAAAAGGCGATTGTACCTGGATGAAGTTAACAGGGATATTGAAAATCTAAAAACACAGAAAGAAGCTAGGAAATTTTATAAGCTGATAAATAATATCAGAGCTGATTTTAATCCCAGAACAATAAATAACTTGTAGAAAAAATAATGGAGAAATCATCAGACATGGAGGAAGTTTTGGTTTCTTGGCATGAGTGTTTTAAGGGTCTGCTTTCGGCTAGAGAAGAGGAGATAACTACTTACAACATGCTACCTATTATGTGTGTGTGTGATTATGGCAAAGCCTCGAGGGCTATCTGCCTAAGGGGAGGGATGCCTTCATGGAGGACTTTCTAAGGGAAACTGGTTCGTATACACGTTACACATGGGGAAAACCACAAAAACGCTCATGCAGCCAGCCCATTCGCGGGATTCGAACCTCGGACTGAACTACCAGTGTTCAGCGACTTTACCGCTCGGCCGCTGGTGGGCGCTACCTACTATGAGTTGTCAATGTGAGATTATGGAGCATAATCCACCAACTCTATACGAAGTTGAACTGGCAATTAAAAATTTAAATAATAATAAATCAGTTGTACCAGATGGCATCAAAGCATAGCTTCTAAATATCAACAAAACAAATTTAAATGAAGGAATCCATCATCTAATTTGTTGCATATGGACACAGGAACAAATGCCCACTGAGTGGGAAGAAGAATCTGTTTGTCCTATTTATAAAAAAGAAGACAAGCTAGAATGTTGTAATTACAGAGGAATTACCTTACTGAATTCATATAAAATCTTCTCCATTATTTTGTATACAATAATTGCTTACATATACTTCTAATGTTATTGGGAATTACCAGTGTGGATTCCAGAAGGGAAAAAAAATAACTGATTAATTGCATTCTATTGGACAGATCTTGGAAAGAACTAAAGAATAAAACAATGATACCTACGACCTGTTCATTGACTTTAAAGCTGCCTATGACAGTATTGACAGAGAAAAAGTACTTGAAGCCATGTTAGAGTTTAATATCCCGAAGAAACTGATAAGCCTCATAAGGATGACTCTTAAAAAAGGTGATATGTAGAATAAAAATTTCAACATACCTTTCAGAACCCTTTTATACTGAGAAAGGATTAAGACAGAGAGACTCACTATCTTGCTTGCTATTTAATATACCTTTAGAAAAGGTCATAAAAAGACTCTGGAATAAACACAAGTAGAAACATCTTGCACAGAACCAAACAATTGCTGGCTTTCGCCAATGATATTGATATCACATTGAGCGATCAAAACGACCTGTCGTCGAGGCTTTCGTCTCACTTGAAAATGCAGCAAGAAAGATGGGCCTTATCATTAATGAACACAAAACAAAATTTATGATTGCATCTAATAAAACTTTTGGTTTATCCCCCTTGATAATAAAGTTATATCTTTGAAACCTAAAACAATTTAAATATCTGGGCACATTGATCACAAGTTGCAATGATATAAAAATTGAAATAAAGAATAGAATATTTATGGCTAAATAGATGTTACTATGGAATTAAAAAACAACTTAATTCCAAACTAATCAGCATAAAAAATTAAATTAAATTTATATAAAACTTTAAAAAGGCCTGTTGCCAATTACAGAAGTGAATGTTGGATATTTAACAGAGCAGAGAAAGACCTGATTTTTCCATTTTTGAAAGAAAAATACTAAAAAAGATCTTTGGACCGGTACAACAAAATGGCATGTGGAGGATTCTCTATAATTATGAACTATATGGAAAATATTGGAAAATATTGAAAATCGTAAAGACATCTCATATCAGATGGCTGGGCCATGTGTTTAGACATGATGATGCATTTTCAACCAAAAAGATGACCTTTTCGAGAATTGAGGGAGTAAGACGAAAATGAGGACCACCTACTAGATGGATAGATGATGCCGAGCAAAATTTAGGTTAATTGGAGTTAACTGATGGAAGGCTGTTCAGCCGAATGGGGTCAGGTGGAGGAAACTTGTAAAGACAACCTTGGTCTGTAACAGGCTGTGGAGCTTATCAAGAAGAAGATTGTTGTTTTATTTTTTGTAGAGCAAAAATGCAAATTTTTAGAAAGAAATCAAATTTTAAATTACAAATTCATTTTTAGAATGCTAATCAAAACTAAAGGATATCTATAGAATACAAACTTAACTGTTACTTATTGAAAAATGATTTATTTTAATTTTATATCTATATTTACTTTTTACTTCTGTTGCTGCTTTAACTAACTGGGCACAGTTACTGGGTAGTCTTTTCTTCTCATATCTATATTTATGAAATTAGAGAATATACACACATTCAATATTAATGTAGTAACTACAAGGTCATCAAGGATGCTACTCTAAACATTGCCAATCACTGTGACCATTTTTAAGATGGATTTTTAAATTTAAACTCATCATGTACTTTAATCATTCAACACAGCTATTAGTTATTTGGTATTTGCTGATTATGCACAATTTGCACAAAAGAAAATAGAGCAGTTATATATCTCCTGTTCTACTGAGCGCCACCTGAGATAACCACTGATCTGACTTTGTAGTAAAAGTCTTACAGTGTTAATAGTCATCCTGGCAGAAGGGAATATTTCCTCTGTGTAAAAATATAAATGTAAATGGGCATACAAGGCCTGTGTATAAGGATAGATATGTTGATTACAAACATTGTCTAGTACAAGTTACATATGATAGTTACATAAAATCATGACAGCTATGTGTACATTTAAACATTATCTGAATTCATATTTACAATACTTTTTACTGAGATAATCAAATTAAACTTGTAATTCATTTAACACATTGACTGGATTTTCAATATCATTTAAACTGCTTTACAATATTACTTTTATCAAGTACATACAAACTGGATAGTAATATGCTTACATTACAATAGTTTTGCTCTTACAGTCCTGTTATTATTCTACGGAGTGAGCTATTTTTCTAGTGTTGATTTTCAGTTGTTGTAGTACTTTGAATTGCTATTAAAATTATGCTGCGAAGATACAATTCTCAAGGGAGGGGGAGAATTTCTTAGTACCTTGCTGAGCATAGCCTGATTTACCTCCTCTATTTTAGTTTTCGTCTGCTTGTTGCCTCAGGTATTTTCCGCCCATTGTGGCCAGTATTCACTGTTTGGCATTTTTAAATGCAGTTTATCGGTTTGTGGGCAGTTGAAGAGGAAGTGATCTGCATCACCTACCGCACCACATTCACACAATTCTGATGCT